CCCCCCCCCCCCCAACTATCTAACGTAATTGGAAGACAGTAGTAGTAGTAGTGATCTCTTACTTTGCATTGGTCTCTTGATCAGGAAATTCTTTCGGAATTTAGGTGATTAATAACGATCTTTTTGATTGATGCCTATTCGATTTTGGGTTGTGAATCACGGATGATTTGTACGTGTGTATTCAGTTTTTCATATAATTCGATTTGCTTCCACTCTACCTCTCCGCATCCTCGCATTCTACGAGTGTACCAATTAGGTGTGGGGGGGGGGGGAATACAGGCCACATTGTACCAGTGTTCAAATTCGAAATCAAATTTCAATCTTCCCAATTAATCAAAATTTCCTTTTTTTTTCGTCAATGTGCAAAGCTGAAGATTCTAGCTAGTTTTTTTTATCTGAAGATAAGGGGATAAAACTGTTAACAGGAAATAATTGTTTTAAAAAATAATTCGACCTGGTCCCATTTTTTCCCTAGGATAGTCAATATTATTTCTTAAACGTGTCCAATTGCCTACATGGCAAAAATTAGCATTCCATTATCTATTGTATAGGAAACTTGTGGTAAATGAATTTCCACAGGGCATAAAGGTGCTTAAGTATAAGGTGGCTAATATGCAGTTAGACCAAGAGACCTGGAAGTGGAAAGGCTTTTGTGAGTGCCTACTTTGGACCACAATGGTCTCTTGCATCACTAGTGATGTGATATTGAAGTTGGTGTATCTGAAGTCAAAAATTAACACTCACTAACCCTGTACTACTGTAAGAAGATGCTTCCGTGCAAGCTAATGAATTTACTGGTTAGCTCACTTCCACTTTTGCAACAATAACATGATTGGTGACTTCCAACTGATCGTCGGTGGTCTCAGATTTGACTAAAATAGGATAGTTTTCAAGTCAAATGATTCCTATTATAAGTATTGCAGATTTTGCAATTTATAAAGGTATTGTGAATTTGATCAATATATTAATGTGGAAAAATAAAGTTTATTGATATACTTTTCAAATTTTTCACTGATTTCAAATTAGTATCGAATTCAAATTCAGCAAATCCTTTCCCTCTTCCTTATTCTATAGATTGTCTGGCACATCTTACCAAACAATAATAATGGAATGAACTAAAACGCTGTTTTTTGACTTGATTATAGGGTATCGATTAACCACGCCTGACAGAATGCCACGGCAATTGGGCAAATACATGCAATCCTGTTGGCACCAGAATCCAAATCGTCGACCAACTTTCGCCAGTTTGGTGATTAGCCTGAGCCAGTTGAAACGGGAGTACTGTGAGACCGCAGAACTTTCTTCTCCTACCGATTCGGGTATTCTCTCAATGCCTCGTCAACAGATCAGCAAACCCTCTCTATCAAATTCTCCAAATTTTCAAGAAATTCGAGAAAATTCTAGATCTCGCCCATCCTCCTCTGTGACCACTCCTGTTCAAACCCCAACAGAAAGCCAATCATCTCAGATCAATGTAAACTCCCAGGGATCTCGCTTGCCTCGAATAAAACCGATTATGACTGATGATGATATTCAAGTTGAATTACCAGCGGAGATGACCTCTCCAGGCAACACATCAACAACAACAACGACAGTAACAACCGTTAGAAGGAATTCTGATGGTGGCGAAAGTTTCTAAAGCTGTGATCTGATCTATAATTTACTCTGTAATATGCTCTTCTTTCTCTCTCCCTTTCTTTACACTTTCTCCAACACATCGAAACTCGGATGAAAAACGCTGTTATTTATTATCTCACCAGCTGGTTTCCTTACCTTCCTTCCTTTGCTTCCCCTTGCTCTTTCTCTCTCTATCTCCTGTTTTGTTGTTTTTTCTCTCTTAGTTTAATGTTTTATATTATTGATGAAGGTAAAAGGGAAAGGTCCTATTTAAATTGTGGCTTACGAATTTGTTTACAAGCGAGTTATAAACCTTTTTTGCTAAGGCCCTGCTGGTGTGGTGATGGCATATTAGCTAACATTTGCGTATACGTAGTCGGAGGTCAGTCGCACATATATAGTTAACCGTATCACCAAAATTGTCGATTAAAATATAGTAGTCCTGTGCATATTAGGATTTTGGTGAGTATATCCTTTCAAGGGATGTCGAAATGTCCCTTCTCTTATAAATGGGCACCTAAAATTAAATGAGTGAGTGATACTGTGTTTTTCTCATTCTAGTTAGTGGTAGTAAGCGATGGATCCACTTTTGAAATATTTGAAACTTGCATTTATTGATGGCAAACTAATCAGGGGTCTGGGTCTTGATTGTATGACTACGACTAGTTATAGATGAAACCCGTGGTAAAGGGAACAAAGTAAAAAAATATGTATATAACACAGATATCATCCGGAAACTTGATTTCATAGATGATTTAAAGGGTAGATTACGAATTTGAATTGCAATCAATACTTCAAGCAAATCGGAAGACTCAAATAGCTAGGTTGATTGACAGGCAACAAAATAAAAATTACTTTGAATGGTAACAGACGGTGGTCTAAACAATATAAGCCTTTTAGCATTTTATTCGAGATTACTTTAAAGGAAACCTTCGTGTTCATATTTTGCAGAAATAAGCAGATTTATAAGTAGATTTAACGACAGAATTTTAGACAGTCATTCGTAATTTTTTAAAAAAACATTTTATTTTGGATTTACAAAAAATTAGTAAAATGTAGAAAATCCCACATCCGTATAAAATGTTGGAAAAGAATTATTAAGAGCATATACCGACAAAGGTAAACGTAGATTATAAGCCAATAATGGCATTAATTAAAATACATGCAGTGTCTTAAGTAGCATAAAATTAGAATACTTGTTAAAGCTTGCATTCAAAAAACACAATTTATCAAGGACTTTAATGTGATTAACTAAAACAAATCAAAGTTAACTTTAATTCGATTTATTTAATAATTATAGCCGTCTTTTAAGGCGCCCTGCAGAATATTATTATAATAAAATACATACTTGGTTGCCTAAGGATAATGATAAATGTTCAATAAAATTCATTTTTATCTGTATTGAAACTATTAAGTAAAAGAAAATATGGTCAATTGTCTTAATTAAATCGGTAATCTCAATTCAATCCTCATTGAATTTTTGTAATTGAAGTTTTGTTCACTTAAATAAATTTCCTTACGTTTCTCAAATTAATATTTATTGTTAGCGTTTGACATTAATTATGGATAAAATCGATGCTTTCTTTTTAATCTTCAAGCCTCTGTGGTTTCCATCTAATGTCAGATAATATTTTACGCCAGTTTGAAACTTCCTTCCGAAATATTGGGATAAGTTTCCACATAAATAAGTCAAAGCTCTTGGTTACAATGACCTAAATTGATGAAAATGTAATCATGATTTTATGAAAATTATAAGTTCAATAGGGCCTACGTATGATCTGTGTACCTTTGTTTTAATTAATTAGACCCATAATTTTTATTTG